ATTAAGAGAAGGGTAGATCCTCATTAGTGTAATCAGCTTAAATGGGTTGACTACTCTAAAGCAATTTGTTTAATTTGTTTGGAACATGTTTAATTTTAGCTATAGATATTCAGCCTTCTCACAGTTGCTATTTATGCTGTTCATCGTGTAATTTTGTGTTCTGTGATTTGTAAAACTAAACTTTCTGCTCTGAATGAGGATTTTGTGACAATCTGTGGCCCATTCATCAGCGCCTCTTTAAAACCACACAGAACTTTCTGTGCACTGATGCTGCTGCTGTGTGTCTGCATCTCATTCAATGAGGAAGAGTTCTTGCTGCCCACACAGAGTGGGGGTTTGCATCAAGCATCAGCCCTTTGCTGGGCCTTGGATTGCTTCCCCTCCCTCTGTCTTTGGGTGTGGAATTMGGGGYTCCTCAAGAGTGTCTCCCCTTTGCRATAGAGCCCAGTGTCAAAACCTGCATGAAGAGAGGGTTTGGAATTCCTCTGTAATTCTTGAAATTGAAGACATCAGCATSTCTGTTTGGCCATGCCTCTTCAAAGAGCAGTGGAAACCAATTCCCCAATGGAGCAAAAATCCATGGATGGTTCAGAAACTGCTGATATTCATCACAGGCTCTGGACGTCTCCTGGTGATTTGCTGTGTGGGGATGTGGCACTCTCCCTTCTGTGGATGTGGGTGCCACATGCAGCTTCCTGCGCTCTCTCCCTCGTCCCTCACTGTGCGTATTTTACTTGCTGTTGGTGAGGTTTATTTGTAGTCCCTCACAGTGCTCATGCAGAGCCTCAGTCCAGGTGCTCTTCTGAAGCAGGTGGATTCTGCTTCCTGTGCCTTCCATGCCTGGCAGCTGCTGTGAACTCTGATTTCCCTCAGGTGTAACCTTTGGTTGGCATCTCTGCTGACTGCCATTGCATGACCAGTCCTGGAAATGGGTTTTGGAATGTCTGTGTGCCTGAACTAATGTGGTTTTCTGGAGTATGCCAGATGTCTGAGTAGTTTTGGGGCCATTGCTCATGCTGTGAAACATGTGGCAGCAAGATGGCACTCCTGGAATCAGCTGGGACGTTGATCTGGTGATGGGAGTTTGCTGAAAGGTGTTGTTCAAGTTGGTTATCCGGCTCCGATGGAGCTCTCTGGAAGAGCCAATTGGTTACTGTTCCCATTCTTGTGTGCAAGCTCAAGCCAAGGGTTTTTTGGGTTGATCCAAGGGCTGTTGCTCAGGCACRGAGGCTGAGGAAGGATGGGAAGGTCCCTTCTGATGGCAAGCCTGGGAGCAGTGAGAGTTGAGCATCCCCAGAAAGCCGAGGCCAGTGTCGGCAGTGTGGGGGAAGCAGAGTCCGAGTTTTGCCTTTGATGTCTGCGTTTGCTCTCGTTCCAGCCRTGATGCTTTCATCTACAAAATGCTTTGCTAGGTTTTCGCTGTGCTCAGCTTGAATTTCTTCCAAGACATCGCTCTGCTGAAATGGCAGAATTTGCCTGTGGATTCCAGTGCAGCAATCAGTCTGTGTTTATTGGGGTGATAAACTTCCTGTGAGAGTGAGGGTGGAGTGRGGCTTTTTTCCCTGTAGCTGAGCCAAATCACTCAGCAGCGAGACCAAAGCCGTTAAGCAAATTGAGATGATTTCTGCTTGCAGCAGTCTTTGSTGTTATAAACTCTTTTTCCTCCAAAGGAGAACCTGCACATGTCATGCCTGGATTTTCTTCCCTTAGTGTGTTGCTCTTGTTTAATACCACGGAGGAATTCCTAATTCTGATATGATTTCATGCATTAATCGCATTAAACAGATCGTGGATTGTACTTCAGGTGTTGAGCTGTACCTTTGAATCCTCAAGATGAGACTCTGCTCTGCTGGTGGCTGTTCATCCCACAGCCTCTGAATGCAGAGCTGCTCACCTGCAGCCTGACACCGTGGCTTTGTGTGACCTTTCCAGTCCCCTCCCAATGCGATTTTTTGCCATTAAAAACCTCAACTCCAGCTGCCCAGGCAAAAAAGCCGTTTCTCCTCCATCAGTCTCTTTAGTTAGCAACATCCTTCTTAAACATTTACGGATCTGCTGGTGATATTTATGGAGTTCCTGTGGTTCGTTGTGACGCTGGACTCGGTGGCACCAGGACACGATGCTTATCGCTGAAATAGAGCCAAGCTACATCACAAATTAGGCAGATGGGCTGTGACTAAATCAAATTTTATGCAGATTTTCTTAGGCTGACCCTTTTTTGCTGTTCTGAATGGCTCTGGAGCTGCCTGTATCTCAAGTTTCATCCAGTCTTATCTGCCAACACACCCTCTAATGTGTCCATCAAGTTCATCTTTCGWGCTTTGCCCCTTCCCAGAAAGATGGTGAATGTTGAGTTGAGTTTGACAGAGATACTACWGCAGTTTTATCCTGGCAAAGGCTGGAGGGAAGTCCTTAACTGCAGAGCTGGCAGCACTGCTGAAAACCCTCAGGGAAAAATCTAACCCTAAAAATATGCCTGAAGCCAATGGTGTCTCCTATATTCTGACATTTAGGATGCTTTTTTAATGTTCCTCACTAAGGCCTCACCTTCTCAGAGCTCCCACAGAAAGCAGAGCCTTCCCGAGGGTTTAACACAGGGAGGATACTCCAAGCTCTTGGCTCTGAGCTCTGAGTGGGTAAAGCTGAAGGAACTGGGATCCCAGGGAGCATTAAATAGTGTTGCTTCCTTCCCTACATCAAATATCCCCCTTTTGGGTCTTGCTGCAATCTGTCTTGCTGGTTCTTGTACGCAGTAGGAATTTCATTTTAATTGCAATGCTTGCTCCTTASCAAGTGAGACTGTAAATGTTCTCATCTTCCACTGCTCTGGGAACAGATTCCTTCACCTTCTTTAAGAGCCCTTCTGCAGTTTTATTCTCCTGCATACCTTAATTAGCAGAGTCCTACTCCTMACTCCTTCCTCAATTCCGCTATTTGAGTCTTGTAGAAAATGTGGTAGAGGTAYTCAGTGTCTGTGTATCTGGAATCTATAATAGGCTCAGGTTTAAACTTCGCATAGAATATTGTTACTCCCTTATTCTCTAACAAGCAGAGATGCTGATCTTGGTGTTAGAGGTGCTTATTTAGGCAACTCCTCATCAGACTTTACTGAAAACCCAGTGGCTCACCATGAGTCACTTCAAGAGCTGTTGCAATTATTCCAGCTTTCAGCACTAAGCTGATGGCATTAAATTGCCATTTGTGWCGATTTGGGGATATTTGAAAGCATTTTGGAGCTGCCTGGATCATATCCCATCATTATTTGGCTTTCTGAATTCCATCTGCATCACCATCCTGTCTTCCTAGAGGATTTAATGACTGTCACTGCTTCCCAAAACGTGGAACTCTGTAAGGGGCCACAGCCTCCCAAACCCAGGTTGAGTCAGTGTTTTACATGGGATGCAAAACTCTGGTTAGACAGGGAATTCCTGCAATACTCTGTAACATYCCATTAATGCATCCTGATGACAGATTCCCCGAGCATGTGAGCTAACAAGGCTGAAACCCTCCTGGGGTGATCTTTGTCAAGCTGTGATTTGTTCTTCCAGACAAATGCTTGGGAGCACAAGTTGTGTGTTATTGAAGCTTTTGGAATCTCAGTGCTGCATTTGTTCCATTGCTGGCGGGTTGCAGAGTGGATTCACAAGGCTTCCCTAAATCTGGAGCAGGACATGCACTTGTTGTGTGGCTGACATGCTCCAGCCTGAAGCGCTTCCCTRCCCGAGCATCTCGCAGAGCCAACACCAAACCATGCACTTAATTAGTCAAGTATTTCACTATCTCTAATATCGATCTCTTGTGTAAATCCAGGTGTGTGCCTGCACCTACTTAAAACATGCCATAAAATTAATAATCACAGTGCTTTCGGGTCCCGTGCTCTGTAATTTATGGATTCTGTGAGAACAAAGGCTGCACACGGAGCAGTGCGCCCCGTGCTCAGCCTTGATGCTGAATAGCAGGGTGCCGTGTCTTTGGGCATTCAAGCAAATATCGTGTTTTGACACAAGACARAGCCCCATATTTCAAAACAAAAGCCTTCTGTTTTGTTTTGGAGCTGCTTATGAGGTGTAGACTGGAAATACATGGATATTTTAAAGCGTTACCCAGCTTGACAGTGGTGCCAGGACACTGAGCGCCATTGCAGGTGCTGATTAACAAAATGAGCGGTTGAGCCTGCACCGAATTCCTCCTGTATGGGCTGCTCTGGGTTCCTTTTCGACTCAAAGGTAATTCCAGGAGTGCTGTGCAGCTCCATGAGTGTTTTTTTCCCTTTCCTTCAGATGCCTTTCAGAAAGCTGATCCACCCAAAAATCCCCTGCCAGCTGAGTATCAACACTGTACTCCCACAGAGCAATCTGTTGGGTGGGAAGATGGGCTCTGGCTCCTGCCWCTTGGATGTTGATAGTTGTGTGTGTGCACATATGCTAATGACCGTGATCACCTGTTCTAATGTGGTGATTGGTTGAAATGTAAAACTTTTCCCTATTTTAAAGGAAAGGTTTTTTTTTTTTTCCTTTCTTCTGAGTGTAAACTTTATGTGAGGTTGTGCTGAAAAGCAAGGGCTGGGTGTTATTTTTGGTGACAAAGCAACCCTTTCTTGGCCATGCCTCATGTTCTCCAAGGACTATCATCTTCCTAACTGCTCTGGTGGGTGCCAGCCCACATCTGGGGCTGTTCTCTGCCTGGTGTTTAGTGGAACACAGGGAACTCTGTCTTGTTCCCTAAATCCAAGCCTTTGAGCTGCCAAAGCTCAGGGCTTTCATGTGGTCTTGTTACTGCTCTGAAATCCATTTGTCTGTCCAAGGGTGTAGCTGAGCAGAGCCTGCACTGCTCTGGCCTTTGGTTCAGTCACAGTTTGTGCTGGAACTGATTTCCTCTCTGGCAGCATCAGAATACTCAAGAGGCGACAATAAAACTCTGCAAAGGAAGAGGTGCATGCAGGAGGAGAGGAGTTAACCTTGTTCCATGGGCTGATTGCAGTTCTTCCCCTGTTTTTCCAGCTGAAGGGCTCCCCCAGGTGTATTACTTCGGACCGTGTGGGAAGTACAACGCCATGGTGCTGGAACTGCTCGGTCCGAGCTTGGAGGATCTGTTTGACCTGTGTGACAGGACGTTCACCCTCAAGACGGTGTTGATGATCGCCATCCAGCTGGTGAGTGATGGCMGGGCCCTGCCATGGGGCTTTTGTGGGTGTCCGTCCATCCTGGGGTCTGCACAGTGCGAGACTCAGGGCTGAGAGAATCTTCTTCCATCACAGAATCAACAGAGCCTTCAAGGTTCTAATCCCAGCCCCCTGCCATGGGCAGGGACACCTTTCCCTGTCCCAGGGTGCTCCCAGCCCCAAAGTCCAGCCTGGCCTTGGGCACTGCCAGGGATCCAGGGGCAGCCACAGCTGCTCTGGGCACCCTGTGCCAGGGCCTGCCCCCCCTCATATCCTTCCCAATATCCCATCTAACCCTGTGTTCCGGCAGCAGGAAGTAGTTCCCCCTTGTCCTGGCACTCCAGTCCCTTGTCCAAAGTCTCTCTTATCAAATAAAACTTCTCAGGGCTGAGCAGGACTGCTGCCTGTCCCATTATGCTGATGAAAACCGGCTCCCCACACAGCAGAACCGGTGACGCTGGATTCCTGTGGGCTGGTGTCCCGTGTCCCCTACACGCCCCTGCCCCCATACCTGTCCCAGCTCCCTCCCTCTATTTGGACACCCAGGAACATCTCATTTCTCACCCGCTCCCAGGACACTCAGAGCACTGCACCTCCCACACTCCTGCCAGTTCTACTGGTTTGGTGCTGCTGGGCTGCCCATAGACTGAGACCTTGCAGGGCCATGGCAGCTGAGCCCTCCTTAGCCACAATACCAGCACTTGAGGGCCTTGCCTTGGCCAAAATGGGCCAATGGGTTCAAATTTCTGACACTTGGAAAACAGTAATTCTATGGGCAGCATCACAGAGCCTTTAATGTACCTGAAAAGGAAAGGAAAYCAAAGGGGTCCAAGCTTGGATTTGGGTTTGTGTTAGAAGTGGATGATATGAGAGCTGAAGGTACTAAATGTGGGAACTTCCACAAGTCAATGGGGCCAGTCAYTTTGGCTCTTTTGGTTTTCAGACTGGTTTGCAGATTCCCAGGTATCTGGGAATCTGCAGATATCTAGATCTTGGATAGCTGCACCTCGGGGTCACCCCAATACCCCAGAGCAGAATTGGGATAGTATATTCACATTAACAGCTTCATGGATAGAAGCATGGTAGGGAAGAGGAGATTTAAGGGATGAGGAACACAATCCTTTCCATATGACCTGAAGTTTGTCACAGCAGAATCTCAAATGGAAAACTGAGATCAGAACTGCAGAAGTTTGAACAATGCCTGCCAGGTGCTGAGGCCTCCCCTAGGTGAGCAGTTGGGTTCTCTTGGTTTTGAGTGTTCCTTCAACAATGGAAAACCAATTTATGGTGCTGGTTTTGATCAAATCAAGTGGCAGCAGCTGGTTAAGCTCAAGATACAGCTTGTGTGACCTTTGGAGGGAAAATGAAAAGATGCAAMTCCAGTCCCAAGGGACTGCTGGGGAAATTGAGCACAGCCATGGCTGCTGCCTTTTGCCACGTCCCAGGGCTGCAGCTCAGCTCTGGGCTTGGATCACCTTCAGCATCCCCTGCTGATCTTGTGGCCAGGCTGCAGCTCACTGGTGCCCATTGGATARCACCCTGCTGAGGGTGATGCAGGACAGCAAAAGCACTCAGGAAGGACCACGCGCTCCTTTGGCCATGGGGAGATCCTGTAGGACCTTCTCAGGAGTGTGCACATCTGAGGAGACAGATTCAGCATCCTCAGGTGTGCCCCATCACCTGGCCCTGGGTTTTCCAAACAGGCTGGCACCGACTGCTTAGCTGAAATGAAAACCCTTCACTCCAGCCACARGGCTTTAGGGAAAATGGTCTTTGATTTCCCTTTGTCCCACCCTAATGATTGCAGTCACTGGGTCACGCTCCAGGTGAGACACATCAGAAAGGAGAGTTGGACTCTCAAACGCCATGGGCTCACATCAGTGAATTCTGTTTCATTGTTGCTTCTTAAGCTTCTGTCATTCTAACCATGGGCATTTGTCTCCTGGCCTTCCTCCACATACTTGGGATGATCCCCATGTCTGTGGGAGCATCCCGTCCTTTCCTTTTGTGTCATGGTGTCAATTTTTAATCAGAAACATCCTGGAAACATTTTTTTAATAGATATTTCTGCTTCGATGGGACCCAACCCTAACCCAAYCCTAACCCAAACCCTAAMCCTAACCCAGCCCTAGCCCTAACCCCAAACMCTAAACCATAACCCTAACTCAAACCCTAAACTCTAACCCTAACCTTGAGCTTGACAGGTTGCAGCATCTAAGCCCTGGATAGATCCTTTAGGGTGTGGATCCTTTACAGATGTTAGAAGCAGAGAAGGAGTTTCTCTAGGGAAAACAAGGACAGTGTCATTTTAAGAAGCGCCACATGGGATTACGAGAGAATTCAAACAGTTTGACATCAGGAAGGCTCTCCTGGCTGAGGGAGGGAGAGAGTAGATGATATGAGTCTTCAAGAAAGACAGCTCTTTTGGGAATTGTTCAGACTAGAGCTGCTTGCTCCATTCTCCACATGCAGCTGAAGAGATCCAGTGGATCAGATCCAGTGGCTGAAGCTCCTGAACAAACCAAGCTTGGTAATTAAAATGTGGTCACTACATCAGTTCCTACAGCCATGAATTGGGGGAGAATGTTTTTTTATTCCAGCTTCTGTTTTTCACTCTTGGCCAGGTCCAGCCTGTGTGATGCTCATTAACAGCTCAGCACAAGTTCTGTTGTGCCACCAGGCACTGGAAAAACATTCTGGATGTGATCTTGACCAAGTGTGATGGGTTTTTCTACTGGTGACCATCAAAATTGCCTTTGAACGAGAGTAATTTCCTATCTCTGCTGATCTGATCTGTATTCAAGCAGAAGTGGAAGTGGAAGGAGGTTTAGAGATGGAGCTCCTGTCAAGATCAGCCCCTTAAGGGGAGAAGAGGGTTTGTTACGCTGGCTGCCTTGGCAGGAGGAAGGCACACGGAAACGCGGGTTTCTTTGGCACCTGCTAAATGTCACAATATCCTCTCATTCCTCCACTGCAGAGCAGGGGTCCTGCTGTGTGCCAAGGGATTCTCCCTCCTCCTAAGGCTTTCTCTGATGTCTGAAATGGAGATTTGTGGCTCCTGGATGGACTCAGCTGGCCGTGGCCATGCAAATCCCACTGTAATTCGTAGTCTTCCATAMACCCCTGCTGCCCCTGTGCTTGCGGTTTTCTGGTGTTAGAGCAATTCCAAATTAGTCCCAGCTCCTCAAGTGGTTTCTCTGTCCATAAAAGAATTAATTCAGAGTGTTTGAGCCTGCAGTTYAAACCCAAAGGAGTGGGCACTGCTTCTCTGCATCCAGCACATTTCTGAGCCTCTCCTTGAGCCACGTTTAATGCCAGGGCCGTGCCCAGCCTCACTGCTCRTGTGTGCTCAGGCAGAGCCTGGCAGGGAGATGCAGCCCAGGCACTGCCCATCCCAGCAGCCACGAGCAGGAAGAGTGTCTTGTCAGGTGAATAAAGCAGGGAAGCTCCTTCAGGAAACATCTTCCTGACTTGGGGGGCGTCTTTCAGCTGCTACTGCTGAGCAGAGCTCTCCAGCRGGAAGCGTCCAGGCAGGTGGAATAAAGAAGGAATAGGAAAGACCCCACAGCATCTGCGTGTGTGCATGGTGGAAGCAGGTGGGAGGCAAAAAGGCAGGTGGGAGGAAAAAAGGCAGGAAAATAATTACCCCTGAGTGCTGCTGGAGCATATTGGCTCATCTGACACCTCAGCTGTCCAGGTTGTTGTCCTGCCTGCTGCAACTTCCCGTGAGTTTTTAAAGAAAGAAAAAATGGGCTCTTTTCAGGTTCTCTAATTGCTGTTGGGATTTCAACAACTGAGCTGCTCTGGTAGCAGAACAAATCAAATGAGCCAGTCAGGCTCTGCTTGGGAGCTTGTTATGTGTGGAGAGGCGAGGAAGCTCTTTGTTCCACTTTCAAGGGTTGCATCTTCATTTGAATTGCCTCCCGACGTAGCTTTTTGTCTCCCAACCTGCCTCTGTGTCCTGTAGGTGATTCAAAGTGTGAAGAATGACTGAAGAGCATCTGCTGTGCTCTGCACCAGCCTGTAATTGATTGGAAATAATGGCTGTTAGCCGTGAAACCCATTTTCTCGGCACATTGGAATCAATCACTGCGTCGAGGGGAGGGAGCGCGCGGCACCGGCACGTGCTGTTCCCTTCTTTGAAGAGTCTTTGAGCAAGTTCTATTTTTTAAGCCTGATTCACCTGCAGTTTTTTGCTGTCTGCTGCCCTCCCTGTACAGCTGTTTATTTTATAAAGAGGGCTGCCCCCTCCTGCCTGCTGCTTCTTTCCGAGGGTTACAAATGCAGCAGATTTTCCTTTCAAATAGGGTGCATGATGAGGGCCTGGCAGTGGATGGAGGSTCACAGGCACGTGGACTTTTAAAACCAGGCGTGGGTGAAGAGAATGCGTGCTCTGGGTTTGTCACTGGGAGCATATCTGTGTTCATTGGGAAATGCAGGAGCAGTTGGGGTCTGCCAGCCCAGCAGAGTGAGCAGGGTGTGGAAGGGCTGATGGGGGTCCCGGGGGACAGATGGCTCCGTGACCCGGAGCTCCAGCCTGCCAGGAGCCRCCCGRTGGCGGTGACCAGCTGGTGGCCCTCACTCTGGATGTCCCCGGTGCTGGCTCTGCGCTGTCCCTCACTCACAGTGGTGTGGCAGTGACCTCTGGGGACTGAGGCTCGTTAGTGCAAAACCAGCACTTGCAGCTCTGCGGAGGTTTCGTGGTGTGGCCAGCCCACAAATATCTGGGTCAATCCCAGTGGCCTCTCCAAAGGAGCATCTTGTTTAACAAAGCCACCGTCCCCTCCAGCATGTGGGGCAACTGCCTCCAGGACAGCCAGAAACGGGGGTTCCTGTGTGCTCATTGAAAACTAAAAAGGCAATTAAAGGTAATAAAGGAAATTAAATGGAGAGTTATTTCCAGTTGGAATCGTTTCTTAAGTTAGGGACCCAAAGGAGAACTGCTTGGCAGCCTGTTCAGACATCACCTGCAATATGTTTGGTTTCAAAAGCAATTTTAGTGATGACCTCCTGAATAAGGTGTGTTGTTAGAGGCCCTTCATCACCTCAGAAGTGGGGCCGCTGCCCTTTCACCTTCCCTTTCAAACTTCTAGAAAAACATTAGTCAAAAGCTGAAAAATATTACAGCTATTCCTGGTTGACAGCAATGAGATTAATTATTATCTTAGTCAGCTTTAAAGATCGTAAAGCTTCTGCCTGCCCAAAAATCCCCCTCCATGGAGAATCTGGCGTGTCTAAGACAACATATGGGTCGAGGGAGGAAGGTGGTAAGACACAGAGCMACAGGGGAAGGCGGTGGGCAAGGGAGGAGCTCTCGGTAACCAGCTTAGTGTGTTTAAAATCAATACAAAGAGGCTGCTGCAGCTCCCCGTGGCATCCTGCCAGGAGCTGCATGTCGGTAACGCCTCAGGAGCAGCCTTTGCCATTTCCGTGGGAATGGAGTCAGGGAGCGCAGCGTGCTAGCCTCGGGAAGGAGGGGATGATTCCCCTGATTCCCAGATTCCTCTGCATCTCTGTGGGGAGATGGGGCCCTGCTCACAAATAAGTCTTTACCGGTCGCTTTGCAGATCTCTCGGATGGAGTACGTGCATTCCAAGAACCTCATCTACCGAGATGTCAAGCCAGAGAACTTCCTCATCGGCCGGCAGGGCAACAAGAAGGAGCACGTCATCCACATCATAGACTTTGGATTGGCCAAGGAGTACATTGACCCCGAAACCAAAAAACACATTCCCTACAGGGAGCACAAGAGCCTGACCGGGACGGCGCGATACATGTCCATCAACACTCACCTGGGCAAAGGTCAGTCGGGGCAGGGGCAGCTGGCCAAGGCCCTCAGGCTGGGAAAGCCCTGAGGGTCACTGAGCGCAGCCACTGACCAGCACTGCCRGGGTCACCACTGACCCTGTCCCCAAGTGCCACATTCACACATCTTGAACACTTCAGGCGTGGTGGCTCCACCCTGGGCAGCCTCTTCAGTCCTTGACAATCCTTCCAGTGAATTATTTTTCTTAATATCCAACCTAAACCTCCCCAGGTACTACTTGAGGCTGTTTCCTCTTGTCCTGTCCCTGTTCCCTGGGAGCAGAGCCCAACTTCCCTGGCTGCCCCCTCCTGTCAGGGAGTTGTGCAGAGCCACAAGGTCCCYCCAGAGCCCMCTTTGCTCCAGGCTGAGCCCCTTTCCCAGCTCCCTCAGCCRCTCCTGGGGCTCCAGACCCTTCCCCAGCTCCATCTCCTTCCCTGGACACACTCCAACTTGCCGTTTGAATCCTGTAGACCTCCCATGGCATCTTGGCTCACAGCTCTCTCGCRCTCTTGGAGCTATTTGTGAACGTCCCAATGCTGTTTACAGTTGTGACACTTTTTTTCCTCTCCTCTTCTGAGGAATCGAGACAGCTGAAATGTTGGAAGCCTCATAATTACAGTTTTTATTAGAAGCTAAATAACTGGGAGCAGCCCTGCACTGATAAAAGACAAGCAGGCAGGTGGTGATTGCTGCACTGGATGATGGACAAACAGATTTTTATATCACAGCAGTGTCCCAATGCCTTCCAGTTCCAAGTGTTAAGAGTTGGATGTTCCCTGACCTAGTAATTGGTTGGAGAAAATGAATGATTTAAATAACTTTAAATCTGACTCTTTCATCCCCTCTCCTYGCTGCATTTTTTCCTACCAGATTACATTTCTGTGGCTGAAAGGCAAAAAATACCTTATTAAATGTTTATATTCTCTTAAATCCATATGAGCAGTGAGATAATGGAATATTCTCAGGGAGGCCTCCCAGCATGTTGGCTCCCACTTGGAAAGCTCACTCTCTTTGGGGAGTAAGGAGGGATGAGCCCAGCTTCTAATTTTGGAAAGTGAAGAGTCGGGAAGGGATGGAGGAATGGGAGAGCGCAGTGGGGGCAGACTGGGAGGGAAGATGTATTTGTGTTTGAAGTGCACCACGTGCCTTCCTTAGGACCCATTTCCTGCAGGATTTCAGCTCCTGACATGGCTCTTGCAGGGGAAGCATACAAATCAGTTCTGGGGCTGTGTTTGAGGGGGCTGTCCCTGCCCACAGGGGTTGTGAGGTGCTGATGCTTCGCTGGTGGGACCAGCCCAGGCAGAATGAGTCCTCTCACATTTCAAACTCAGCAGTCTGACTGCAGTTTGTCTGAGAGATGAGTGCACTCAATCATCTTCCCRGAAACCCATCTGCAGCACTTCACTGAATCAYTCAGRWCATGCTGTGTTTKCCCCTTTTTATCAGGATAACCTGTGGGAGCTGTTGTTTCAGTTCCCTTCTCCCGAGTGTTCTCACTCCCAGCATCTCCTGCTGGTTCAGTGGATCTGCTGGGTCTGCCCCAGCTCGTGGGGCATTGTTTGGAGCAGGTGGGGGTCAGAGGAGAGATGTCCATGAGCTCAATGACCCCAAGGATGCAGCCCAGCCCAGCGTTGCCTCTGCATTTCTCGTTCTCTTCTGTCCTCCCCTGAGGTTTTGGATGCATTTTGGCAGCTTGTTTTAAGGATGCTTTTTCCTTTGGCTCCATGCCCCTTTTTCCCCCCTTCATTTATAATTATAACATCTGCATGGCAACAGCAGCAAGTGTTCCACGGCCTGGAAGGAGCTGGTTTTCATCTGYTCTGGTGATCTGCAAAGGCAGTTGGGAAAGGGTTGGCACTGTGCAAGGGTAGATCCCTGCAGCTGCTCGTAAGTATCCCCTGTTCCCATGCAGTCCAGAGGAAATGATCCAGCATCACATGGCATCATTGACCCTGGTAGGCCAGAGAAGAACTGGGGCACTGATCTGTTCCTCTACAATCGAGAGTTGTACGTTCTACCTCAGGCTGGGCTGTCATGCAGCTCCCATGTTATCCTATGGCTTCTGGCTGATTTGACACATTTTCTGGCTTTCTGAAACAGCTTCTAGGTGGTTTTGCACAAGATTTGAGGTGCAGACAGCAAGCTAATGTCCCTGTGGKACCTTTATCTCAGATACAGGTGTGGCTGCTGCGGAGATCTCAGAGCCATTTCTGCCTCTGCAGCAATAATTTGTCATCTCTTTCAGAGCAAAGTCGTCGAGATGACTTGGAAGCCCTTGGCCATATGTTCATGTATTTCCTCCGAGGCAGCCTGCCCTGGCAAGGATTGAAGGTAGGTTTTAGCTTTAGGTTTTGTCCTTTAAAACTTTGGCTGGTCTCTGCCCAAAGGAGAATCCGCTGGGGAAACATTAGCAAAATCCAGCCAGAAACACTGTCCTCACCTTTGTGTCCTTGAAGCCTAACACCGAGGCATTAACTTTAGCTGCAAGGAAGATTTTAAGGTAGAAGTGCATTCCATGGCATTTCACATTGCCAAATTGGTAGAATTTTGGAGAAAAGGTTGAACAGAGGGACAGGGACAATGATGAGAGAGCTGTGATTGGAAGCTGCCCCAAGCTGGAGCGCGACTGGGACACTGTGGTTGTTGTTGATGAAATTCCAGTTACAGCACACAATCCCCCAGCTGCATCTGTGATCCGTGTTTATAATGGGAGCAGTTTGATGGGTTTAGATGCACAGATGGACTTCAGCTTGAAAAACTGGTTTTCTGGCACAAGCRTTGGGCTTGGCTTCCCTCCAGAGACAGTGGACACTCAGTGCTGGGAGTTTATGAGATGCTGTGTACAACGTGGAGAGCTGCGACTAATTGAGTCACCGACTGCCGCCAGCAGCCGTCAGCTGAGCTAACCAGGAGTAAGGCATTTGCTGGCTCTGGAGCTGCATCTTCACTTCTCCAGCACCTCCCTCATGATTAACTACTACGTTCAGCTCTGCAATTGCAGGGAGTGAAGGGTTGAGTGTGATCAGGTTAGGTGAAGGTTTATCAGGGAAGATGAGAGCTTCYGTTGGAAAAAGGAGACGAGGCTTTGTGCTCAGGAGCTGCCCAGCAGAGCTCTGCAGTGGTCAGGGGGGTTATTGACACAGCCTGGGTGATGGACCTTCTCCAGGTTTTGTCACCACCTGTCCAGAGTTAGTCTCAGCTCAGCCTCATCAAGCACCATAAATGTTGGCAACAGCTCATAAAAACAAAGAAAAGGTTTTTCAAGCATCATGAAAGAAACCAGACTCTCTGATTTTRTGTCCATGCCTCCCTTAAGTGTGTTATTCTAGTACATATTTTCTTTCTGGCTTAGTTGAACTCGACTGCTTTAAATTAATCCTGTAAATGATTCTAAAATAATTTCAAGTATATGCCAGGTTCTACAGAAGTTCCTCAGTTCAGTGCTGAACTAGACAAGAATTAGTTGTCTCCTTTTTGAGGCCCAGGGCAAATACAGACTGTCCAGCTGAATTTAGAATGCAGCATCTTTGCTCTTCTAGGTTTCCTCAGCTTACATTTTTGGTCTGTASTGTCAGGGCTGTGTCTGCAGAGAACATTTTATTGTTTTAATTATGCTACTGCCAGGTGTAATTGATGTATTTTGGAATGGAGGCAAGAAACCCCATTTTTAGGGTGCTGGCTAGAGCAGAATTCTCTGCCTCAGAAAGGATTTAGGTGGGAAATCCAATTGCAGATGGTTTCATTTCCTTGCTGACCAGTTATTAAAYGAGTGCTGAGTGATGGGAGGTTTGGGGGTGAAAGGAGAGGCTGTGTGGAGCATTTCCCATTTAGGGATTTGGGAGAAGTGTGATGATGCAGGGTCATTGTCAGTGTAGTGGCAYCCTGTCACACACAAGAGGACCCAAAGTGCTGTGTCATGGGTCTGGTTTGCAGTTTGTGAAGGCAGCTCCATGGCCCTAAGCCTGGGGAGGCCCTGATGTGCCATCACAGTTGGCAGGACCTTGTAGGTCACTGATAAGTGTCCTGCCAATGACACTGATAAGCATCATTGCCAAAGGTGTTCTGTGCATCCTTGGATTTTCTCTGCCCATAGSCTGTGAAATGTTCCACTGGTGCAGTCCTGGATGCAGTTCAGTTACATCTCCTGATGTCACCCAGCATGTGCATTAAACACTTTGTTTTTCTTCCCACACAGCATGTCCTTTCTCACATGGTTGAACTCTTTCTCCACAACTGTTTTGTCTTTGTGCGCTGCAGGCTGACACCTTAAAAGAGAGGTATCAGAAGATTGGGGACACAAAGAGAAACACTCCGGTTGAAGTTCTCTGTGAGAACTTTCCAGGTAAAGCCCTGACAGGAACGTGAGAGTGCAGCTGGAGGTGGCCCTGCCTTGTTCAAYAGGATGGGCCTGAGCTCCTTTGGCAGAAAGTGTTTGGAGGATGTGTATCCATCATGTTGCTCCTCAAGCTGGCAAACAGCTGGAGCTGCTGCTATAAATTAGCAGGGCCTGAGGTCTTAAAATGAACAAAACTCTTCTCATCAAGRAGGCTGGACATTGTTCAAGGACCTCATGTGCCTGCTTTGCTTCTTGGCTTCCTTCCAAAAGAGCTCCTCGTTATTTTCCCTCTCCCAAATGATCGTGTTGGAAGTACCGAGGTAATTCTTTTCCAAATGGAAGGTTTTACAGGTGTGGCAGGTGTAGGTGGCCGGCTTGGAAGATGGGGTGGTGTGTGGGTCCATGAATTCCACCTGCTGGGAGCGGTTTTAAGGAGAGTGCTACTAAGGATATGCCTGTAGCCAACCCAGCACCTTATGTCCTGTTAAACAGACCTTGGAGCTGGGAGGGCAGGGTGCAGAGTGAGAACCTTCCCCAGAGTCCCCTGGCCACAGAATGGGTCTGGGAGGTTTTARAGGGATGATTTCTGAATTCCTGATGCCAGAGAGAGCACCCACAATTAATCCCATTCCTGCAGGAGCCATGGTGCCACACAYGTTGTGCTGTTTCCCAGCATGAGGAGCAGCCTGGAGTGGGATCATTGTTCACTGTAGTTGCTGTAATTCCCCAGATGTGTCATTCCAAAATCCACCTGGTTCTAAACAGAACAGTTTCAGCTTGGCTGGTCTCACCTTTTCCCCAATACTTCTCCTAACAGCTCCTTCAGGTCTGGGCTGATGAGAGATGAGAGAACTGAGTTCTCTCTCTTCCTTGCCTGAAACCATTTGTTCTCCACCTTCTGGAGGTACTTGAAAGAGGGGATTCTTTGTTCTCCTTTTCTCCCCCGCTTTTTTACCGCCATGGAAAAGCAAGCCACAGACAGAGTTAAGTGTCAATAAGCAGTTCTATTCCTATTTTTGTCAGCTGAAGGCAAGGCCACGCTTTGTATCCATCCATGAGCCAAGGGAGAGCTGTGAGGGGTGGGAATTCGTAGGGCTCAGCATTCTGTGCACGCAAAATGCGACCCAGATGCAGGAAAGTGATTAATTAGCTTAGCACCAAACCCTGATCTKTAAATTAACCCTCTCCAGGTAAATGAGCCTTGGAACCTCCCCTCTAGTCTGGTTTTGAATATTCAGGCGCTRCCAATGTCATGATGCTGGCTGTGGGCAGCCAGACCCTGAGCTGCWGGAGCTCAGGGATGCCTTGGGAGCCCACCAGCATCTCCTTCTTTCCTTCTCCCAATGAATGTCTGTGGCTATTTAATAGAAACGTGGCATCACAGAGTCCCAGGCTTGTTTGGGCTGGAAGGGCTCTTGCAGTGCCATCCCCTGCCATGAGCAGGGACACACACCTTCTACTGTCCCAGGCTGCTCCAAGCCCCGTCGAACCTGGCCTTGGACCCTTCCAGGGCTGGGGCAGCCACAGCAACACTCGAAATGCCTGTGAGCAGCCTGTCATTAGGTCCAGCGAGTTTATTTCTCACTCTGTTAATTTTTGCACAAATACATAGAACAGGCTTCCCTCTTTGCTCAAGAAGTGTTTGGATTGTTTTTTGTTGGGGACTGTTACTAAAAACCACGACTTGCAGAGGAGAAGCCAGAGGTAGCACTGGCAGCCCAGCCCTTGGTTTGTAACAAGTCCTTTGGAAGGTTCAGGGTAAAAGCTGCTGTTTTTTCCCCTTTCCCCACAGAGGAGATGGCCACGTACCTCCGCTACGTGCGGCGGTTGGACTTCTTTGAGAGGCCAGACTACGATTACCTGCGGACCATCTTCACGGAGCTCTTTGAGAAGAAAGGCTACACCTTCGACTACGCCTACGACTGGGTCGGCAGGCCGATTGTGAGTTGTCCYTGCAGCACCCCGTGCTTGCCTTCCAGGGGCTGCTTCCCCACCACTGCCTCTGTTCCCAGTAATCCCATTGAATTCCAGTGAGTTTAGGATCAAATCTTTCAATCCTCAACACAGTGAGATGTCCTGACATTGTGTTTGGGGGGTTCTTGCTGTGCCTTGAAGCTTTCCTGAGGGACAAAAGGCCCCTGCCCACCTCTCTGGACATTCAAGCCTCGTTTTCCTACTTGTGACAATGAACATGATGAGGCTGAATTCCCTCTAGTCTAGCACAGGATTGAGACCAATATCTAAAATCTATCTTAAAGCARGAGAATCATAGAAAACCCCTATAATGGTCATGTTCTCATCAAAAAGGTACAGGCAGGGCTCTGATGGATGTTCAGTGAATAGTAGAATCCCAGAATTCAAGTTGCAAGGGATCTTAAAGCCCACCTTGTTCCACCTCCCTACCATCGGCAGGGACACTTTCAGCTATCCCACGGTGCTCCAAGCCCCATCCAGTCTGGCCTTGGGCACTGCCAGGGTTCCAAAAGCAGCCATAGCATCTCTGGGTGCCCTGCRCCAGGGCTTCACCACCCTCACAGGGAGGAATTTCTCTCAGATATTTAATCTAAACTTGGCCTTCTGCGCTCAAAATATCTTGGAGGGCATTCCAGAAGTTGAACCAGCTCTGTACAGCACATGGCAAGGAATGGTGGGAGTAACCAACCTCCATTCAGCAGTTTCATGGCTCCATGTGGACCGTGGCCCTGATCTCGTGTCACTTTTATTGCCAAAAGCCACTTAAACTTAGGAGGACCTTGGCCAGAGGATGTGTCATGGGGAAATACAGGAGAAGAATGTGAAGCTCTTTGGTTTGGGTCATTCTGCTCACAACCCACCCCAAGACCRGTGATGACATCTGTAAATGAATTGCCATTGGTGCCAGATCAGATGCCATCAGTGCTAAATTCGGTACCGCTGCTGGTGCTTTACTGTCCCAACTATATTTAGCATTCCCAATGCTTACTGTGCTCAACAGAGTTCCTAAGAAATCGTTCCCTTTGTGAATCAAGATTTCCTCCCCAATTTTCTGTAATTACAAAGGCAATTGATAAASAGCACCTTGTAAGACATGCGTGCTATTGCTGACAGCCGTGGTGGTTGCCATGGAGATCTCGATGTTGGGAGCGGGGATTATGACTTTGGTGAGAAGAGAGCAGATGAAGCTTTAATTTTAACACGTCTTCTTTCTATGCAAGCGTGATTTTTACAAGTGGTGAGACGATGGGATGAGGAAAACAAGTCTGTATATTTTCAGTTGTAATAATCCTGTGCGAGACGCACTAGGTGTGATCTGACACAGACACAGGCACCTAACTGTATCTTCTTAATTAATTTTTGTACAAGACATTTGGTGTCCGCCATCAAATCTTCTGTCTGTAAATCACAGTAGTTTTACAGCTCTGGCTGTAATTCTCCTTGGCTCCTTTGGGCAGTGTTTTCATGTTGTTCTGCATCCTCCTGGTTTGACAWGGCAGGTTTGTGCACATGAGAGGCTTTGCCCTAACCCACACCTTATTTTCCAGCCTACTCCTGTGGGATCTGTCCATGTGGATTCTGGGACGTCTGCAGTGACGAGAGACAGCCACGTGCACCGGGATCGACCATCACAACAGGCGCTTCGCAATCAGGTGCATTGCTCAGCTCCTCCCAAATCCTCATGATGTTAGAGTTGGCTGGGGCTGGTTCTTGGTCACGGCAGAGACAATTCCTGCCTAAGTTAGAGATAGTGATTTGAGGAGAATTCTGTCAAAGCAACAGGTTGTTGRAATTAGGTATCAGCCAGTGGAATTCCGTGGGAACGTGAGCCAGCCAGAGTCCAGTTTGGAACAGGTTGTTTTTCTGTAGTTTGTGGCTAAACAGGGTTAAGATGATGATCCAGCCTGCTCAGACTCCCTGAYTACCACATTTTTTGGGGTGCTTTTACCCATAGCACGTGGCCCATGGAAAGGACTGAGAGTTGTGTTAATGTCAGGCTGTCCCCGGGTGCCCTCTGCCCACGGAGCGTGCAGCTGGGGTAGGGATGCGTGTCCCAATAACACCCATGTGCCCTTCTCGGAGTGCCCAGTTCACAGTGTGAGTGTTGCAGAGCACGAAGAGTTAGCAGGGCAGAACCCTCAGGAACTGCCACATTTGGAAGCTGAATTCCCCATTTTTTTTCTTTCTTGTTGTACTCTTGTTGGTGTTGAGAGTTTGGATTTTCTGTGTTAACAGCATTCTCAGACATTCAGGAGGTCTCCAGCTGTTGCTGCTCCTATTCTCAGGGAGCGGTTCAGGGCTCATCCTGCCCCTGCAGCCTCCTTGTTGTGCTCAGTTCCTTGGGCTGGTGTTGGTGGGTGCAGAGCYGAGCGTGGGGTGTGCAGCCTGTCTGGACTCAGCTTTCCTGGGYTCTGGAGGTCACTCAGCTAGCACAGGGTAGGACACATCCCAGTCCATCTGCKGCAGTCAGGGTGACCCCTCCTTGGAGCTGTTGCTGTAGGAAGCGAGTTGTTTGCAGTGTGGTGATTCATGTGGGCTGGTGTGTGAGCCTGATACAGTCACCTGCTTTAATAAATTCCCTGATGGATGCATTAAATCCCTGGTTTTGGGGGGGTTGTCCAGCTGGTCTCCCATTGTCCACCGTGACCACAGACCATGATCCATGTGAGGCATCATGTTTCCTTGACTGGACAGTGACACCTGGCTTCGTTTTCAGGCATTTTAGTTCACAAGGCCCAGAGAAATCCCAGAATATGCAGGCAGCCTGCAGGCCTTGTTCTCCTGAGCTGCACACATGGTCCGGATGCTGGGTTGCACGGCAGCTTTTGTCATACTTTCACCTAAACATTACTTAGGATGATGAATTATTTAATGTAGCATGGGGAAATCAGGTTCTTCTCACCAAAACACAAACAACTCTCTTCCGAGGGATGTTCCTTTAAAGTCTTGTGCAAAGCATTTCTCTAAAGGAAAAGGCAAAAAAATAAACATCTCAAGCRGTGAATTGGAGGCATTTGGGTCTCCAGATTGAATGGCCTAATTTTTGTTCTTGAGTGTAATAACTGCATATGCTCTCTTACAATATTTGACTCCCAGTAAAGAGCTTATGTGGGATCTCCACTTTGTAGCCTTTTCCTCTGGAAAGTGAAGGGTTTTAATCAAAGATGGGTGAGCTCTTTCCCCTCTGTCTTCAGCCTTACCATGTGATCTGGAAGCTGGTGGGAGGGTGATGAGTGTTACTGGGAACTTGATGCTCCCAAGCTGTGTCAGGGGACATTTAGGTTGGATATCAGGAAGAGGCTCTTTCCCCAGAGGATSGTGGGGCACTGCCCAGGCTCCCCAGGGAATGAGCACAGCCCYGAGGCTGCCACGGCTCAGGGAGAGTTTGGACAGTGCTCTCAGGGACAGGATGGGGTTGYTGGGGTGTCTGTGCAGGGCCAGGAGTTGCACTGATGGTCCTTGTGGGTCCCTTCCAGTTCAGGATTATTCTATTCTATTCTRTTCTGTTCTGTYCTGTYCTGTCCTGTCCTGTCCTGTCCTTTCCTATCCTRTCCTRTCCTRTCCTRTCCTRTCCTRTCCTRTCCTRTCCTRTCCTRTCCTRTCCTATCCTRTCCTRTCCTRTCCTRTCCTGTCCTRTCCTRTCCTRTCCTGTCCTGTCCTATCCTATCCTRTCCTRTCCTGTCCTGTCCTATCCATTTCACAGAATCACTTCCTCAGTGTCACTCCATGGCTCATGGCTTATGTTGGGCTCAGCTCAAGCCGGCTCCAAATCCAGTTTGTCTCGTACTTGGCTGTAAAGCTAAAAGAGACAGATCTGGCTCTGGTGGCTACTGGAGCCTTTCCTGGAAGTGGCTTCCAGGCAGGAGCCTGCCCCTCCCATCACTGATGTAGCCTCATTCCCTGGGCTAGCCAAGCACCCTGATGCCATGGAAGAGCAGCTCTCCAGATGTGCTTTCCACTAGTTTGTAAAACCTGCATTTAAATTCCCCAGWTGTTCCTAATCTTGTGAATTACAGCCATTAAAAAAAGATTCCAAGGGAGATGCTTCTCCTTCGGGTGTCACCAAGGACAAAAGGTGTGAGCAGTGTCTCAGGCTGATAGGAGGAATGTGCAGTGAGAAGATTTGATAAATGAGATGATCTTTAAGGTCCCTTCCAGCCCACACTGTTCTATGATCCCATGCCACCTTTAGGGAAACAGCACTTGGCTTTAGTGCCTGCTTGCTCTGTGGCTCGCTTTGGGAGGCTGTCAGAGCACAGGGACCAATAATGGATGTTTTATGGGGATTTATCTTTTTATTCTCCTGCATTTTGCTCTTGCTCTCGTTGAATGACAATTTACTAGAGATTGTTGAAGTTTATTCCAAGGTTTCTGGAGTCTTTCTGTGGGTGCACCTTCACTGCTGTTAACATGGGGTTATTCACTGGAGCCTCTTGTTTCCTGGACAGATTGGTGGTGTCTCATTCAGATGAGGCCTGAGGCCAGCACAGATCCGTTTGTCTCACACTTCCAGCTTTGGGAAGCGTTCTTCCCGCTGGTCAGTAGGGTTCAGGTGCGCTGAGATCCCCCTGGCTCTTGGGTGAGCTCTGGGTGTGTTGTCATCAAAGCTGGGTGAYCCCCCCCAGAGGTTCATGTGCAAGTGCAAAGTGATTCTTCTGATAAAACAAATGAAATTCTTGTAACTTAAATCACCWGATGTTTGCATCTGTCATGGACAAAGAGGAAACTTGTTAGCTAAAGTTTCTTATCTACTTTTCTGCAGAAACCGAAAAAGCCCCCAACCCTCTCTCCATTTAAGCAGGTGTGGTGGATGTTTCTTTCCACAGTGCTCGGGTGAATCAGTGTGTGGAAACTGCCTTTGGATGGAATGAAATGTTTGGCTTTGGTTTATGTTGCAAATTTGAGTTTAAAAATAYGTATTCGAGGGAGGTTGAGCTCGTGAATCCCATCTTGCTGCCATGCCAAGTGCTCTGGTGTGTGTGGCCTGACAGACATAGTTAAATACTGTCGGTGTGACTGTGGCTGTGCTGAAATCCACCCAAGTGAAGCTGGGTAAAGAAATTCATTCCAGAAGAGATCTTTCCCTTCATTCAGCAACTGCAGRAGAGGAAATCCACTCCCACAGTGGATCACTGCAGCCACCCTGGAGTAAATAATGAGGTGCACTTGGGAAAGGGGAATTTTAGCCCAGCTAAAAGTGTAAATGCCTTGCTTTTTGCAAAGAAACTAACTCACTAACCAARACACTTTTGTTTCTTCTCCTCATTCACCTTTTGGCCTGTCCTCTGTTCCTGTGGTGCTCCCAAACTCCTGAGCAGGCGTCATCGGATCGCCGGGGGGAGTGGGAGATCCAGCCGAGCCGGCAGACAAATACCTCGTACCTGACATCTCATCTGGCTGCAGATCGACACGGAGGATCAGTGCAGGTACCCCTTCCTCCTGCTGTGTGCAGCCTTAGTGCCAAACCCCGTAAATTCTCCTCAAATCTCCTCAAATGTCGTGGTCAGGAGAGCCATTTCATTGGTCCTGTCCTGCACGTTGCTCTCAAGCCGTGGTTTGGGAGGGACCCGCAATATGGATTTTGCTGCTTCAGTCAAATGTTTTGAGTTGTTCTGAGCCCAAATTTGTTAAGCTGAAGAAAGGAAGGAGTGTTTATGAATAGGTCTGCTCTGTAAATCACCCTCTGCCCTATCTTGGAGGGGAATGGGAATCAGTGCCTGGAGCAAGACAGAGCTGAGCCATGGAGATGGGTAGTGCAGGATGGCCCTAAGGAAAATGCAGATTAGGTTGACACTTTTACTTATTCCTGATACTTGGTTGGGTTCAATGTGGTTTTCACTTGATTAGCCATGGTCCATTTTTCATTTAAAGACATTTTACTGAGTAGCAGAGAAACAAAGATAGGGTGGAACTGATGAATGTGCAGCTCTGATCTGAGATGTGAGCAGAGGGACCTGGGGAAGTGTTCAGGGTCAGACTGGATGGGGCTTGGAGCACCCTGGTCTAGCAGAAGGTGTCCCTGCCCATGGCAGGGGGTGGATTAGATGAACTGTGAAGGTCCTTTCTGACCCAGACTACTCTGATTGTACAACTTCAGCACTCAGTGCAGAGTAGATGTTTTCAGTCGAGTTTTTTTAATGTGAGGGGAATGTTTCCTTGTGACAGCAGCACTGAAGCCGCTCTAGCAATCGGATGGGAAGAGTTGCCAACCTGAGCAGTTTATGATCTCCTTGTGCCACTGTAAGCATTAAAATTCTGCTTATCTGCAGCTGAGGACAGGAAATGTGCTGTGTGCGGGCTGCTGGGCTGCAGGGGCTGGAATTGTTCCACAGGAGACACCCCAGATCATTCCAGACCTTGGCAGGTCAGCACCTCCGAGCTGCCGTTCCCTTTAAGGTGGGATTTGCCACACGAAAATGAAGTGGTGGCACGTGAGAAGCGAGGAGGAGAATCAAAACCTTCTGTGAAATGGAATTTAAGAGGAAGAGCTGGCGGGGAGTCTGGCATTCTTGCAGCTTTGGAGCCAGGAGCAGCTCCTGGTTTTCACAGCAAGCTGCAGGAGCCAGCAGCCAGGTGAAGCATAGAAGGGCCAGCCAAACTTTCCTCCCAGCCAGGATGCTTTGGGGGTTCTTGTGGTAATGGAGCAGTGATTAATTATCCAGAAAATTTTGTGGAGCTGCTGGGAGCTGGGGACCTGGATGGTTGTGCCTGCAACGGAAAAGCTGGGGTGAACCATCATGGCAGGTGTGAGTCAAAGAGATGAGAGACCGTGTCAGCAGCTTTGGGGAGAGGACATAATTCCCAAAACTGACTTTGTAAGGAACTAGAGTTAAGGAATGAGGCTTCTCCCCATGGCAGGCAGCAGGATGGAGCTGCTCACCCATGAAAGTGTCAGGAGAAAGCGATGAGCAGCGTCCATCGGTGTGTGTAGGTGGGGCTGTGCTCGGGACACRGGAACGTGAGTAGGGAACACCAACAGGCCCCTGCCAACTCCTCTGCTTGGACCCACTAATCTACAAGGCAAAAAGGAGGTGGGGAAAACATTCTGTTGCTGGGAACACAGTAACACTTGGCTTCTGAGGTTGTAGGGGGTGGAAAGGGAGGTAATGCAGAGCTTGCCAATTTTTCTTTCAGTCTTTTTGAAGAGTCCAGAAGCATGGCTCTCAGTCTATAAATTAGAACAACTGTGAGAAACATTCCAGTAAATGACCAAATGTAAATGCTTGTCTTTGTGCTGCAGGTGGTGAGCTCGACCAACGGGGAGCTGAACGTGGACGACCCGACGGGAGCGCACTCCAACGCGCCCATCACGGCGCAGGCCGAGGTGGAGGTGGTGGAGGAAGCCAAGTACGTTTGCTTTGTGACCRGCTTTCCAGCGGGTGGTCATTATTCCTTCTCCTGGGAAGCGAGTGGGGACGTTTTCCTGTGGCAACGTCCTCCGTGCTCGTGTTCTGTGCCCTTTCCTTGCATATTGCTGCTTTTGTGCATGGTGTCTTCCGTGCTGCTGCTGTTGCTGCTGCTGCTGCTTCTCTTTGACACTTGTCATGCCTGGAGAACACCACTCTTACTCAGAGCATGTATTAGCAGACAGGCATTTCAGTAGCACAGSTACCGAAATTGCAGGAGCTGATCTCGGGGATCGCAGTGATCCAGAGGGAGAAGGCGCTGTGCCCTCGTGCTCAGAGTGCAGGAGCAGCTCGAGCACAGCTCAGCACAGGGATTGTTGGTCTGAGAGTCGTCCCTTCATTTGTGGCTGTGAGACAGAGCAGTCGGGAAGTCACTCCTTCAGGGATGGGTGGCTCTTCCTGGGGGTTCTTCTGGTGGAAGCTGAGTGAGAGGAGCAGCTTGTAGGGGAGAACGTGCTCCCTCTAAGCTGGGCTCTCCTGTAGCTCATGGTCAGGGGTGAGAGCTGCTGTCAGAGCTGCTGCTTTGACCATTTTGGCTCCTGTGCTGAGTCTGGCATCATTGTGTCACCTTTTGCATGGTTATCACTGTGGCACCTCTCACTGCCTCTGAACTAGAGCAGGACCTGTCACTGCAGGGCCACCAAGAGTCCTGGCACTGCTGGCCCAGGGCTGCCTCTGAACTGGTGGGTGCTGGGACGTGGCCCAGCTGCCTGGTTATTGTTTGACTGGGTGACACTGGCCCCACTTGTCCTCCATTTTTCCCTCAAATGGGCACTTSTGGGTGAAGTGGAAGAGTGGCAGGTGTGAGGAGGGCTGTGTGGATGGAAAAGGGCCCTAGGTATGTGTCACCTGTGCTGGTTGTCCTGAAGGTCTTCTTCTCTCTATTCCCCAGTCCTGTGGGAAGCATCTCTATGGGATCTTGCTCTCTGATCCAGCAGCAGCAGAAACATCTCCTCCCTCCTCCCCAGGAAGCTTCAGATTTGGTGCAGGCTCCTTACCAAGCACAGCAGGGTGGGAGAGATCTTGAGGAGCAGTTTCTGGAGCGGGCAGCATTCCTGTTATATACAGGTTGTGTGGCCAGCAGAGACCACAGACTCCAGTGTGGCCTCGTGGGCTCTAAGGGGGTCCCCCCAGGCAYGTGACTTCCAGGATGGGGCAGGTTGTCACCCTCAACAGCTCTCATCCAACAGCCCAGTCGAGGAAGAGCCAGAAGTGTCTCCAGCCTGTGTTTGTGCAGTGAGGCCGGGTCCAGCCCCTGCTCTGTGTCATGGGGAGTCTCCAGGCAGGTGGGAAGGAGCTGTGCCACCCAGGCCCTGTCCCACAGCACGTGGGGCTGTCCTGTCTCTCTCCAGCCCTTGTTTGTGTGCTCCCAGATTGGTTTTGGAGGTGCTGACGAGCGGAGCAGAAGCTGCTCTGCACTGACAGGTGGTAATTCCGAAGCACAGATCACTTCGTTCCGATTGCCACGGGGAGGACTTCATCTCTCCTCACATCTCTGATCACAAATCCCCTCAGGCACACGAGAAGGGCGAAGGACTTTGGGATTGTGCTCTGCAGGAATGGGTGCCAGAGAGAGCTGGCAGGAGCCGGAGCTGGGCTCTGTGTTTTGGGACGATGTGCTGTGTGGGAAGGACTGTCCCTGTCACTGCACAGGCAGAGCTGTGCAAACGCCGCAGCTCGGGGCGTGCTGGAGAGCAGCGCCGGGTTCTGCCTGTGGGTTTTGCTGCAGGGCAGGTCCCAGGTGTAGATCCATCCATCATCAGGCCCTTCTGCTGCTGGACCTGCAGGKGACGAGGGCAGATGGTGGCCCGGAGTCTCTTTGTGATGGCAGCCCYGGAAAGAAGCGGGCGTTGGCCAGCAGCCCCGTGGCCCTGGCGAGYGGCTCCGGGCTCGGGGCTCGGGGCTGGRCAGAGCAGTGAGGGCTGGGGCGGGCGGCGGGCAGGCCTGCTGTGTGTCTGCCGCTCGGCACTGCATGCTTGCATGGCTGCAGTGACTCGCTTCCATCCCACCTCTGTGAACTAATCGCTCTTTCTTCCTTTCTGTGTTTTTTCTCTACACTCTCTGTAGCTGCCTGAAAATGCTCAACTTGTGGTGAGTCCCTCTCTCCAGTCCACATGCAAGGGGGAGCGGACCAGACTAGACTGGGGTTGGCAAAACCAAACCCACCAAACGCTAAAAAGGCACAAAGTCAAAGCCAACCCAGAGCTGTTTTGATTTTAGGATCACATGCAATATTGGGGAGGGCGTGGGCTGTGTCCGAGCGGCCGCACCGGGCCGAGGGATTTGGCTGATCTCTGAACGAATGGATGCAAAATCGGATTCTAATCCTTTCCTATTTGGCTTCCCATCTCCCCCAAACATTGACGTCCGTGAGCAGACGATGCCTGATGGAGCTGGGCAGGGTCGGGCCCAGGCTGGCCGAGCCTCTTTGCAGGAATTCCTCACGCAGACGGTTCAYGGGGCAAACCCTGAGCTGGGTGTGCAGGAGAGGGGCCAGCCCCTTCCTGTCCCCTCCTGGAGAAGCACGGGTGGGAGAGGATGGAGGGACAATTAGGAATCCTCATTAGTGACAGAGYCCCTGCTCACACAGGGTAGTGGGGAGGGGGCTCCTTCCCAGCCAGCTGAGGGGCAGGTGGATGGGCTTCTCCAGGATAGAAGGGGTGGCAAAGTTGGGATTAGCACCGGTCCAAGCCCAGCTTGGGGCTTTAGCAGGGTTTGGAAGCTGCAGCCGTGGTGTCCCAGCCTCAGGCTGTCCCAGGAGATGGTGCCTGGGGAAACCACGCAGCTGGGAAGCAGAGGAGCAGTCAGACACTCAGATATCTGAGTTTGTAGGTGCCAGGGAGGGCTGAGGGGTGGGAACTGCCACAGAGCGAGGGGACCGACCCCGTGTGCGGCGAGGAACGTCCTTGTTGGATGGGAGACTGACTCTGCCCTGCTCTCCATAGGCATTGCCCCCGATTCCTCTGGCATCTCTGGCTTCTCTGTATGTCGTAGTCTGGGGCTGTTCTCTTGGGCATCGTCTGCATGCAGAGAGATCTCGTTCTGTAATTGTCAGCCTGCCTTATCCTTTTATTTTGGTGTTTTGCCTCTGCCTGTCTGAACTGCCAGGACTTCCTTTCCTGAACCCTTCCCTGGACCYCTGAGTAAGAGCCTAAAAAGACAGTCACAAGGAAAACAAGCCAGAAGTCAGTCAGCCCCCTCCGTTCAGTGCCCAAGGACCGGGTGCTGCTCAGCCCCTTCTTCCCTTTCCGCTGCATGCAGARCCATCACTCATGCATCCTCCATCCTCTCCCTGTGACATCCCCCTGACTCACCATCGCCCAAGCCATGGAGGAAGGTGGCTGCTGTGGGAAGGCTAAAGAGGGACATGGGGGCAGCAAAATGCCAGAGCAGTACTGGGATGGGCATTCCAGCCCAGGCCAGGGGTGCTGAGTGCCACACAAACACCTCAGGTGGGTGGGCAGCAGTGGAGGCGTCGCTTGTCCTGCAAGGACGAGGGCTTTGCGTCTCTCCTTGTCCCCTCTCCAAACCTGTTCAGGAGCCTGGAGACAAATCATGGATGTCAGTCCRTGTGGTGGAAGGGGTCCCTGCTCCTGGGGGGCTGGGAGGGCTCTCCCTGTCACAGGGAGAGTTGTTTGTTGTCCCCAGCACAGTCCATCTGTGCTGGCAGGTTCAGCTCACAGCAGGTGCTGCTCACCCTTCACTTTTGCACCCCAGGAACAAGCACCTGGGTGAGAGTGAGAGTTCCTACAGCTCTGATGGGACAGGGCTGTAATGCTGACATTCCACAAAGGACCCAGTGGAATGCAGCTCGGAGGAGTTGTTAGTGGTTTTGAATGTTTTTAGCCTACAACAGATGGTTGTAGGAAAAACTGGTCTTTGCATCCTCACRTTTGCCTGCCAGAGCTCAGGTAGCRATTGAACAATGCTCTCAGGCACATGGGTGGGTTCTTGGGGCCAGAAGTTGGACTCGATGGTCCTCRTGGGTCTCTTCCAGCTCAGGATTTTCTGTGGTGTGCTCTGGCTGTTGATCCAGGCATCCCCTCCAKCAGCCTGCAGGAGCAGCCTTCCAGCACCAGCCGAGCTCCTGTAGGGACAGCTGTCCCAGCACAGGGACAACCACCCACGGCTCAGTGGATGTGCAGAGCACTCCTGACAGCGGGCTGAGGGTAGAAAGGCACATAAACGTTCAGCTCCAAGGAATTCTGTGGGAAGCCAGCAGGACTGTAGGATCTGGGTGACTGCTTCCAGTGCATCCCGCAGGGAAACCACCGCTCCTCACGGTTCAGCTGCGTTGGGCGTTCCTCTCCCCACCTCAGCCTCCACTCTCCATCCTTCTTGCTTCCCCTAATCCTGTGCACCTCCCTTGCATTGGATGGGGGAAAAGCAGGGGTTCTGCATCCCAGCCCTGAGTGATTGATCCGAGGTGGAAGCTCTGGTTATTGTGAAAGGTTCAGTAAAGAAACCTGGTCCGTGGGCCGAGGTCTCTTTGGAACTTGTCTTTTTAGTGAACGGTGGTGAAAATGGTGTGTCTTGTGGCTGGGAAGGGCAGCCAGGGCTCGCTGTCCCGCTCCACTTGCTCTGGGGTGGGACAGAGGCAATGAAGCACCCGGGTCCCYGTTTCCCTGCTTTCCCAGATGGCTCCTTGTGTTCCTGCTCTGGTGGAGCCCAGGAGGGAGAAGGCCAGGCAGCGCTGCGGGGGCTGGCAGAGGGACACCCCRGCTGGCGGTGGCCGGGCTCCAGTCSGGGCTGGCACTGTCACCCAGCAGCACCTGGCCCCTGTCCCAGCAGCGTGGCACAGCCCGGCTGGCCAGGCAGAGCTGCTGTTGCATGAGGAAGAGCGGGGGGACAGCGGGGACGTGGTGGGGACACGGTGGGGACATGGTGGKGTGCCGGGCACGGGGCTGACTCTCCTTGTCCTTTGTGCCCCAGGTGCTGCTGCTTCTTTAAGAGGAAACGGAAGAAGACGGCTCAGCGTCACAAGTGACCGGTGTCTCCTGGGCCTTGCAGGAACCACCACGCCTGCAGCTCCTGCCCTGGCTCACTGGAAGGGGCTTCTCTTTAGGGGGGAGGAGGAGGAGGCATAGGAGGAAGAGAGAAAAACAAAAACTAAACAAACAACAACAAAAAAAAAAGTGACATTTTAAACCAAAAAGAGAAGAAAACTTTCCAAAACAAACCACTTTGGGGTGGATCTGCTGAATGGTCTCCCTCGTTCACTCCAAGCCTGAAGCTCCTTTTGGGACCAGGACTGTGGCTGGCTCAGGTCTTGGTCGCCCTGGGAGGGGGGCTGGCTGGCTGACCCTCCTTCCCGTTGTTTACGGCGAAGGCATCGTTCACGCAAACCTGAGGACTGTGCTTAGTTCCTGCTCACTTTCCTCCCCTCCCTCCCCTGCGCTCTCTGCTCCTCCGTCCTCCTCCCTCCTCAATTCAGTGAAGAATTCCCATAGGCTCGATTGGCTGTGGAGAGGGCAGGAGGACCCGGGGCAGGCAGGAGAGCTGCTGGGAGAAGGGCCTGACTGCTGCAGCAGGAAGAGACAGGTTCCCTCCGTGGCTCCTTGGGAACAGTTACACTGTAATGTGCAAGCTGTGAGAAATTTGCAATCTACTGTTCCAGTTAGGGTTTTTTTTTTCCCCGGCTCCCTTGACACCTCCCTCCTCTGACAGTAACAGAGCAGTGTGGATTGTTTTAAAGAAGCTGACGTCGTTGCACTTTTTATTATTTTTAGCATTTACAGATGCACATTGTATCTGTGGATGTCTGCGTGGCGCAGGCAGACRTGGAGCGGGGAGGACRGTGGGGTGCACGGAACGCCCYGGAGCGGGGATGTKCACGGGCCTCGTGCCACTCTGGGGSTCCYGAYGCCGCCTCGGGCCGCGCTGAGGAAAGCATACTTGAATTTCCAATCACCCTTCCCAGCTGCCGGTGAATGTCCTTGCCGTGGTTCCCTACGCCGTGCCTGACCCAGCTGGCCGGGAGACGCGAGCCCCTGGCCCGATGTGTGCTTCGGAGCGCTGTGTGCTGCTTCTAGAGGTAGATCAGGACCAAGGTTCCCGGGAAGCAGCTCTTTCCTGAAGCGTGGGCGTTTCTTGGKGTGGGCAGCCGGGCAGCCTTCCCAAATCCTTCCTTGGGGTGGTTGGGAATCTTCTGCCAAGAGCACGCTAGCAGGAGCAAAGCTTCCCCAGCAGGGGAGAGGATACTTCATGCCTTAACACTGATCCCATGTCCGACGGTCGGATAGGTTTGACTGGAATCGCCTTCTCGTCCTCTGTGTGAGCACGGGGCAGGTGCAAGTTCATCTGCACCATCCTGCCCTGGAGCGGTGCYGGTGCTCCTGCACCACTTTGAGCCAAACCAGTAGGGAGAAAAGGGCTTGGGGTGCTCTGCACACCCAGAAAAACAGTGAAATCTTGCATCCAGCTGCCACGTGTCCCGAACTGGAGGAGATTGAGGCAGCAGGAAGAGGCGACAGGGCTATGGGAGAACCCGAGCAGCTTTGGGGAGGTTGTGAATAGGTTCCTTGGACTTTGTCTTTCTATGTGTGACACCAGACCAGGCTGGAACCGTTCACTTGAGGGACTTGGCTTACCCCAAAATCCTGGAGAGCATGAAGGGAGGAAAGGGAGAGACTAGATTTGTCGTTTATTCGATGTGGTGATAATCTGTGTGGCTGGGAGTTTAGGGAGCAGCACTCCCGTGATGTTCAGTTTGGTGGCTGGGTAGGAGCAGGCTTAGAGGGCTGGAGATGAGCCTGGGCAGGGAGCTCCGGGCTTGCTCCTCGTGCATTCCTGAGTCTGAAAAGCCTCGCTCGTGGCCGGGATCCCTGCAGGGCAGCTCGACTCCATTCTCCGCTGCGTTCTCTCCATGCCTTACCCCCTGAGCGCGGTGGAGGCATGGAGCCCTCGGCTCAGCGTGTGCCTCCTTCCCTGCCAGCAAAGCGCTTTCCTCAGCTGGGCCGGGGGCAGGAATGGTGCAGGAACGGGGCAGGAACGGGGCACAAAGGGCACTGCTCCCCTCCCACAGGCGCCTGTGGCCCTGTCCCCTCCTGCCCAGGGAGCACGCGGCCGTGCCCACTTTCCACCTTTCTCTTTGCAAGCCCCTCCGCTGCTGGTGGCTCCTGGGTCTCTGGCACAGGCGTTCCCCTCCCTGCTATAGGAACCATGGTCTGGCGTCTTGGGATTGGGGTTGAGCCACCCTGCCCGCTGCCRAGGGAGCCGGGCCCTGAGACACTTCTGTTGCTGCCCTCCCAAGCCCCACTAAGTGCCTGTCACCAGAACTCKATTCCTTCTGCATCTCCTGCCGTGTTTGGTCATTCCTCGCTGCCTCCGCTCAAGGAGCAGCTTGTAGTTGCAGCATATGTAAGTGTTTGCAGGGTGAGGGAGGGCTGGGGGGAAAGGGGCCATCTCAACAGGTTTTGTTCTTAAATGTTTTTGGTTTGTTTCGTTTTGTTTTGGGTTTTTGTTTTTTGGTTTTTTGTTGTTTTTTTTTTTTTAAGTGAATGTATTTGATTGTTTAGAAACTTTCCTGACCTTCTTTTTAAGTGGGTTGGTTTGAAAGCTGTTTCATGGTGACCCACTACGGCTTCTCTCTGGAGATACGGTGTTCTTTTAATCCTACAATGATGTGTTTGTAGGGGAGGACTGTCCCCCCACGGCATGCTGGTAATGCTCACTTGTACCAAGCCCTCTTGCACTATAATCGTACGTTGGACTCTTCAAAAAAGGGCAAAGATGTGGGGTGGCTTTTTAACAAAAAAAAATTAATAAAGAAAAAAAGGAAATAAAGCAGGTTGACAGCAAGTCCTGTGCTTGAGGGAAGCGCTGTCCCCAGGGAGCTCGGAGGTGCTGAGGAGAGCAGCCAGGCTGAGCTGTGGAAGGACGCAGGGCATTAACCTGCAGGGCAATCCCTGCTCTCCCTGCCGGCCAAGGGGAGGGCTCTTGGGGGCTCTCTGCCCACCAACGGTGCGATGCAGTCTTCTGAGGTATCAAGTGAGATGATTATTATTTTTTTTTTCAATAAAACATTGCACTGCTGCATTGTTCTCCATGAATAGATGTATTTGTTACCTCGGCCTGACCAGCTGGACACTCGTGTTTTGTCTTCCTTTGGCTCCGTTGGGCTCTTGGGTCACCTCCGCTCCCTCAGGAGGGGATGACACACGGGTGAGACCTCGTGGGAGCTTCTCAACACTTTGTGCTGTTAAAGCCATGGGGGCTTTGGCCCCACAGAGCTCAGCCAAGGCGCAGTGGCACCGATTTCCCTTCTCCCTGGGCCCATGTGTTCTCATTGGGGCAGCCCTTTAGAGGGACCACAGCGAGAGGGGTGCTGCCATCTGCYCCTTGGCACAACTGGGGCATCAGAACTGAAGGAAGGAGTAGGAGAAGCCCAAATTCCTCTTAAATAGCAGGAGAGCCCAGCTGGAAGCGCACAGTAGAGTTTGTGGTGCTGCAGGTGCCCGTGTTCTGCTTGGCACCATCACTGAGGGTGTCACTACCCCTGGCAGGGGTGGCACCTGTGAAGGTCTCTGCCAGCCGAAACCAGGCTGTGATTACAAATCTTGGAGTTAGCTGAAATGWAGGAATTAGGTTTTTATCAGCTCTGGGGCAGTGTCAATTCCCAAAAAGATAAGTCTCAAAGGTGGAGAGGGGCAGGGAGGGAACACTCGGGGCCCATATCCTTGTTAGAGGACACATGCCCCAAGACAAATTTTTGGGAACGGGAAATGAAAGTTCCTACTAAAAATGGTACATTTGAGGCTGGGAATTAGGGGAAAAAATGTCACAGCGTGGAGTKGGTTCCAGTAGTTCTGGTGCAGGTGTTCCTGTGCGGGAATAGTGACAGCTGGTCCCAAAGGTGCTTTGGCTCTCGGGTGGCCTCTCCTTACCGCCACCATTCTCACATTGAAAGTGTGGGGCTCGGCTCGTCCTCCCGCCGCGGGCACGGACACGGGCACCGGCACCGGCCGGTCATTGCCTTCGGCTGCTCCATGGCCCTCTGCTGCTGCTACCGGGGACACACCGGGACAGCGGCCCGGGAACACAGGGGGACACACCGGGACAAACGGGGACAGCGGCCCGGGAACACGCGGGGACACAGGGGAACACACCGGGCTAGAGAATACACGCGGACACACCGGGACACACCGGGACACACGGGGACAGCGGACACCGGCCCGGGGAACACGCGGGGACACACCGGGACAGGACACACCGGCCCGGGAACACACGGGGACACACCGGGACACAGGCCCGGGAACACGCGGGGACACAGGGGGACACACCAGCCCGGGAACACGCGGGGACACACCGGGACAGGACACACCGGCCCGGGAACACACAGGGACACACCGGGACACAGGCCCGGGAACACGCGGGGACACACCGGGACACATCAGCCCGGGAACACGCGGGGACACACCGGGACACACCGGGACAGGACACACCGGCCCGGGAACACGCGGGGACACCGCGGGACAGCGGCCTCAGGTCCCGCCCCCCGGCCGCGCCTATTGGCCACCGCCACCCCTCGGCCCCGCCCCCCTGCCACCGCCTCCCCCTCAATGGCCAATCACAGCGACGTTCCGCTTCTGATTGACATTGCCGCGGCAGCCCAGCGAGGGGCAACGTGGCAGCCGTCCGCGCCCCGCCCGGCCGGAAGGTGCCACCTTCCTCCCCCTGCGGCCGCGGTTGGTCGCGCCCGGGCGGGCGGAGCGGGCGGGCGCGCGGCGCGG